TACTTTGAGCCTTAAGAGATGCTTTTTTTGGTTGGTTTAAGTCTATCACAGCAGTTTTTACATACATAAAGTAATGGAAATACCCCACAATGGCAGGAATACAATTCTGTGTGAGTGAGAGAGACAGAGTGGCACAGACAGAGTGTGTGAGAGAGAGAGAGCCTTGCACTGCTGTCAGTAGTACAATAACTCAATCAGACACATTTACTGGACGGCTGATCAAAGCTGCCAGCAGCAAGCGATTGCTGGACATTGTGTTGCCCAGGTCAAACCCTGGGACAAACCCCACGCTCCTCACTCCTCCCCTCTCCGCCGAGCACATTCTCCTCTCCGTTCATCATCATCCTGGCGACGCTGGCCTTAATGATTGCAGCAGCTTCATTAAGGGCCTCGTTAAGTCTCGTCGTTAAGGCTGGTCATTAAGGTCCTTCGTTAAAAACCCCAGGCCTGGAACCACTTGCTTCTGGCAGCCTTGACTGACCGTGAGCGCGAGCCCAGAGCTAATGGCTGATGGCAGGATCTCTGAAGCTTTACGTAGTGAAAACTGCACAGGAGTATCCGCAGCAACAATGCTCAGTCCACTCTCTGGGCTGGCGGCCATGTTGAATTAGCTGTCACTACCTGGTTCCGTGCAATGCTTTAAGATCGTTTATTAACCCTGGGAGTTATTACTGTTGTTTTTGCTATTCTCTTTAAATGCAATTACGTGATTACATATTTCATAATAAATTACTTTTAGATTGAATTACGTTCTGTGTTAACAGGTTTGAATCTGCACTTCTGACTTTTTTCCATTTGTTTCAGTGTCACTGAATGACAAACACAAACAGCAAAACTGTAAATGATGTTGTTTCCATAAAAGCAACTACAGACATGAATAACTTCATTAAAAAAAGCTTTCAACAACACAAATGTCATATTTATTGAAAGTGTAGAATCTCTTGTTTTCTCTTATTTCTGGCATATTGCCACGCTTTGGCCCTGTTGCTCAAACCTATCACTTCCATAGTGTTCTAGTGCAAGTTGTGTGTTCACACTGGAAAATAAAGTGGGTTCTAGTGCACTGTTAATATATGAATGATGTACTAGAATCATCCAAAAAAGTTTAGACTAACGCACAATTTCAACATTTCAAATAGGAGGTAGATGTCTTTGTATTTCAATAACTGCATTGAAAAAAGTTTGATTTGGCACAGTGGGCAGTGCTGTTAGTTCACAACAAGAAGGGCCTGGGTTTGATTCCCCAGCCGGGCAACCAGGGTCCTTTCTGTGTCTGTGTGGTTTTCCTCCCATAGTCGAAAGACCTATCAGGCGAATTAGAGATGCTAAATTGCCCCTTGGTGTGAATGTATATGTCTGCCCTGTGATGGTCTGTTGACCTGTCCAGGGTGTTTCCTGCCTTCCAGTGAGTGTTCGGATAGGCTTTAGCACACCCCAGGAGGATAAGTGGCTTAGATAGCGTGTACTTTTCTGTTAAGTATATGTTTTCCACTTTTATACTTTACTCATGATGCTGAAATACTGAAATAAATACGTAAAGGGTGATTGCTGACATTTCCCAAGTATTGGGAATATGTATTCAAGTATCTTGAGTTCACTTAAGGCATTATTCAGAAAATGGTTACCTTTTCAATGTTTTGGAGATACTTCTAGACTAGTTACGCACTAAATTAAAAAAATATACCATATTCAAAATAAACACCATCAATACTTTTTATTAACTCTTTTAAATTAAAATTACTCTTTAGCAATTAAAAACATACATTAAAAAAAGAGCTCAAAAAGTGGTTTCTTTACAAACATGATTAGTTGTTAATCTCAGTGTCACTGAGCTCTGCTAAAGCCTTAGTAGACTGATAAATCAATGTAATGATCAGTTATTAATCTCAGTGTTACTGAGCTCTGCTAAAGCCTGAGTAGACTGATAAATCAATGTGATGATCAGTTATTAATCTCAGTGTTACTGAGCTCTGCTAAAGCCTGAGTAGACTGATAAATCAATGTGATCAGTTATTAATCTCAGTGTTACTGAGCTCTGCTAAAGCCTGAGCAGACTGATAAATCAATGTGATGATCAGTTATTAATCTCAGCGTTACTGAGGTCTGCTAAAGCCTGAGTAGACTGATAAATCAGAAAGATGTTCTGTTATTAATCTCAGTGTTACTAAGATCTTTTAAGAGATGGAACTATTGGGATGGTCTCCTCAGTAGTGGGCATGTTTACAAGTTGTAAGCTTAGCATTATTGTTGTGCTGGACTTGCCATTTCCTGGCATGTTATTCACTGAAAATCACAGCCGCCCACTTTATAGTCAAGTTTGCAAGATTTTTGTCATTGTGATATGTTTGCTTAATTCATGAGACTGCAGTGGGATTATGGAGCAGCAGTGGGATTATGGGAGCAGGTGGACTGAAGCAGGTGATGAGAGGCATAATAATGTTGAGAATTCTGCAACTTTGTTTAAATAAGTGATTTTTTAAATAAAAATATTAACAGAAGAATTATATGTAGAAAACTGCCAACCAGTGCCAGCGAGGGTGGCGGAGTTTCTCGTATGTGTTTTATCTATATGTATTCTAAATGTATTCTGAATGCATTACTTTTTATGTATTGTAATGGAATGCATTACTGAATACATTTAAGGTTGTGTATTCAGTATTCAGCCAAGTATTCTGGCCAACTCTGACTGTATATTCCCCTTTTCTGCATTGTTTGGTGTTGCCTTGTGTGTGCTGTTGGACCTTTCACTCTTTTCCCTGTTTTCATTTCTGTTTTTTTTTGTTAGGTTTATGTCTATCCTACTGTTTAGGTCTCAGTGTTTATGTTTCGTTCCTGATCATTTAGTTTTCCTTTGTTATTTCTTATATATTCCCACTTTCCTTGTGACACAATGGAGGAGACATTCATTTGTGATACATACATTTGTGATCACTAGTAATATTTTCACAGTCTATAGGAGAAGGATGAAGAAGGATTTCCTCCGAAGAAATACAGTAATGTCACTGTTAAAAAACAGAAGGAGCAATCGAGAAGGCATTTCCACATACACAAGTTTTTCCTCTCACTATTACCCACTCTATGGCACGGAATGCATTGAGGGGCATACATCTCCTGGGCTGTGTGTTTTTTGCCTCAAAAAGCTCAATCTGGGAAAGCAATGAATATTTTGATTTGAAAAAAAATATCCATTCTGGTTCCATTGAGGGAAATGTGCTTAGCTGTTTCCACACTTGGATACCCGCGAAACGCCGCCGTCTCCCCGCTCCCATTTTTCTTCCAAACTTGCAATGTCACACTTCTGCGGGGAGTCGCGTTATTATGGGGGTCTTTTTCTAGGCAGCCGTATTCAGGCCACGTATGAACAGTAATGAGAATGAATGCCGATGTGCTGGGTGGGCTCGCTGCTATTACAAAGCTTCGCTTGAACACTCCCTCTGTTCACACTGCAGACGGTTTCCAGTTGTTCCTCAAATCTGATCTTTAGCACTGACTGTCCATGCAAAGCGACCAGATCGATGGATCGCTATATCTTTATTGTTTGCTATGGTCCTGATATAGACATAGAGGCAAAGTACTGGCTTGTGGTACAGTACTGGTCAAAAGTCAGAGTCCACTTTTTCATTTATTTTCCAATCAAAACGGCCATTAAGTACAAGTCATTCATTTTTCGGTGTCAGAAGAAAAGCAGAAAATGTATATTCAACAGGAAATTACATAGAAACTTCAGGAACTAAGTATAATATCACATTTTTCAGTATTTAATGTATCCAGCTTCCATTTTTTCCAGGAGACTTGCTTTCAGTTTTTTGATGAAATCTGCAGGAATATTTTCCACACCTCCAAAGTTCAGTCTTAGAAGTTGATTGCATTTTCCTCTTCTCGCAATCCTAGTAATCCCACACACATTCAGTGAGAGAGGCCTGGACTCTGGGGTGGTCAGTCCATTGTTCTGGGAATGCCAGCAGCTTCTTTTTGATTTGAACTTCAGCAGCACTGCTGTGTCAGATCCATTCATACCTGCACAACACACACTAACACACCACCACCACATCAGTGTTACTGCAGTGCTGAGAATGATCCACCACCCAAATAGTACCTGCTCTGTGAGGTTCCATGGGGGTCCTGACCACTGAAGAACAGGGTAAAAGGGGGCTAACAAAGAATGCAGAGAAATAGATGGACTACAGTCTGTAATTGTAGAACTACAAAGTGCACCTATATAGAAAGTGGAGCTGATAAAATGGACAATGAGCACAGAAACAAGGAGGTGGTCATAATGTTATGCCCGATCGGTATATATATGTATATATATATATATATATATATATATATATATATTCTATTTTTTTAGGCTGAAATATGAATAACTTGTATTTAAAGGCCATTTTCACAATGAAAGATCATCTCTGACTTTTGCACAGCATTGATCCAACTGAATTCCATGTGATTTTCCGCTGTTTAGACTTCAAAAAATCATTCAAGTCCAATCAAACTGAATTTGGTCTGACTGTGTAAACATTACCTCAAACTAGCACTCATCCAATGAACATAGCAGCACCTGCAATCGACAACCTGAACAGGAACGCCACTGTGCTTGTCTGTGTGGTGGTTAGAGCCCATTTACTTTAAGGGCCTCGAATCAGTTGTTAAGCCCCCATCCGTCGGTTTTTATCTCCAGTTTCATGTTTTGTTCCCCTCGTGTTTATTTTTCCACCCTCCTCAGTTTGTTGGTCTTTATCCGATGATTGATCCAAATGGCCGACTTTGATTTGTCTCTTTGTGAGCCGGAGGTTGGATTAGTGCTTTATAGCTTTTTCCTTGGCTTTCAAACTCCGGCCTCCGCACACTGTATAATCTTTGATATTGGTTCTTTTCACCCCCATCTCTTTAGCCGTCACTGTCTTCTAATCCCTCAGTCTCTTATCCTATTGCTCTGTTTTCTCTTTCTGTCTCTCTTTCTCTCTCTCTCTCTCTCTCTTGCGCTTTCCCTTCCCTCTCAGCTGCACACTGACATGGACAGAGGTGATGGACGCACGAGGTACGTGCTCCGGGGCGAAGGGGCGGGATCTGTGTTCGTGATTGACGAGAAGACGGGCAACATCCATGTGACCAAGCCTTTGGACAGGGAGGAGAAGGATGAGTACCGTCTGATTGCCACGGCAACAGACAGCCAGACGGAGCGTGCCTTGGAGCCCTCTTCCCAGTTCATCATCAGGGTGCAGGACATCAACGACAACCCACCTGTGTTTGAGGATGGGCCCTACAGCGCCACCGTCCCCGAGATGGCCAACATAGGTACTGTCCCCAGGGGTGTAGATCTCTGACCTTGTGATGATCCTCAAATTTCATCAGTTCAGTTTAATTGTATTTAGTGATTTTGATATGATTCAGAATTCTGTTTCAATGTCACACAGTATAAGAAATCTTGGTATAAATTACAGAAATGTGCGTGGCTACTTAATTCATGTATTGCTGTTCCATACAAAATACACTACATGGCCAAAATTATGTGGACACCTGACCGTCACACCTATATGAGCTTGTTGGATATCCTATTCCAAAACCATGAGCATTAATAAGGAGTTCTCGCCCTCTATGTGGCAACAACAGCCTCCACTCTTCTGGGAAGGCTTTCCACAAGATTTTGGAGTTCATCTGTGGGAATTTGTGCCCGTCAGGTCAAAAGAACTTTTGTGAAGTCAGGCACTCTGGCATGTTTGATGAGAAGTCCTGACTCGTAGTCGACGTTCCAATTCATCCCAAATGTGTTCAGTCGGTTTAAGATCAGGGCTCCACACCAAACTCTGTCTTTATGGAGCTTGCTTTTTACACAGGGGCAATCATGCTGGAGCAGGAAAAGGCTTTCTCCAAATGGTCACCACAAAATTGGAAGCATATAAGTGTCTACAATGTGTTTGTATGCTGTAGCTTTAACATTACCCATCACTAGAACTAAGGGGCCTATGCCCCTTACCATTATCCCTCCTCGACCAAACTTTCTATTGGCACTATGCATTTCGGTAGGTAACATTCTCCAGTCATTCTTCTGCCAAACCCAAGCATGATACATCACTCCAGAACCACTCTGCCACTTCACACCACTCCAGCCGATGCTTTGCGTTGTGCATTGTGATCTTAGGCTTGTGTGCAGCTGCTTGGCTATGGAAACCCCTTTCGTGAAGCTCCTGTTGCACAGTTCTTGTGATGATGTTGCTTACACAGGCAGTTTGGAACTCTTTAGTGAGCGGTGCAACAGAAGATTTTTACATGCTTCAGCACTTAGCAGTCTCCCATGGTAATAAGTCTTGTTTGGTAGCATTTGATAAGTTCAGTAAGCCCACGTTACTAATGCTATTCTATGTGGCATTAAATGTAGTTATAACTGAAGTTTTGCTGGAGGAATATGGCTGAAACCCCTCCTTCTTCCAATCTAACGCCTTATGAATTCACATCCTCACCTTCCGTTCCCGTGACGAAGTATTCACAATCCCCACCGCCACTCCCATCTCCTCCCTGTTCCTCAATCCTACATCAGTCCTACTACAGCTATGATGGGGAGGGTCTGGCCTTCTAGCTACAGGCAGAAGCTGCCCAGATCTCCAGCCTAAGTTCTCAGAGTCCCCCCCCCACCCTCAGTCAGTCTTCCCTCATACTACCACCACATGTTGAAGGCATGGTCTGAACTTTCAAACTGGCATTTAGTTATTGATTGTGGGTTTGGGCCAGTTTATTTTAATATTTACACTGATATGAAAGTCTGGGCGGTGACGTTTCGAACTAGGCTATCCAGGGTCATCTGGGGTAATTTCACAGCTACTTTGCCCCGTATGAAGTGTAAAATCTCTTACAAATTACATTACCAGACCTCTACGGTTAGTTTTATAGCTAAAAGCTGCTGGAATCTTTGGAGCATGCGAGGACACGATGCAAGCTCAAGTCCAAACTCATCTCAAGTTGACACGTTATATTCTAGCTGACTGTACTCATATAGGTTTAATGGACTAAAAGTTTTGTGAACATCATTTAGTGGATTTATCTTACTTGGTGTCAGCTAACTAACTCTTCACAACTTTGCTGGTTCTGAATTTAAGTTAATTCTAGCCAGATGATGAATGGCAGTGCTGGAAGTCGCTGACAATAGACTTTGATGAAAAAGATTCCCAAAATAAAGAGATTTTTTGAGAGTTCACTACTGGCTGAGGCATCAGCATCAATTAGCCTCCCATTTTGCTCTTGTAGCCAAGAGGCAATGGTAGCATTAGACTCACTGTTGTCATCCACCAGCTGGGGGTTACATTATAGTTTTTAGATTGCTGTTGTGCAGTTGGACCCAGTGTATTTATAAAAACTTGAAAGGGAAAATTAGTCAACCAACTTGGCTTCACAAAGTACGCTAATAATGCTACAGAGTTAAAGCACTTGCAGAACATTGTTAATTGTTTTTGATCATTTGGGTTACATAGTAATTTCAGCTAGTTGCTATGGTGTTGCTGTTATTGCTATGGTATTTAGGCTGGTTGTTAGGGTGGTGCTTTGTACTTGTTAGGTGTTTGCTAAGGTGTTGCTTGGCCATTGCTATGGTATTCCAGATGGTTTCTAAGGTGTTGCTAGGCAATTGCTATCCCATCCCAGGTGATTGCTAAGGTGTTGCTAGGCCATTGCTATCCCATCCCAGGTGGTTTCTAAGATGTTACTTGGCCATTGCTATGGTATCCAAGGTGGTTTCTAAGATGTTGCAAGGCCATTGCTACTCTATACATGGTGGGTGCTGAAGTGTTGCTAGGGCATTGCTTTGCCATCCCAGGTGGTTTCTAAGGTCTTGCTAGGCCATTGCTATGGTATCCCAGGTGGTTTCTAAGGTGTTGCTAGGCCACCGCTTTGCCATCCCAGGTAGTTTCTAAGGAGCTGCAAGGCCATTGCTTTGTCATCTCAGATGGTTGCTAAGGTGTTGATAGCATATATGCATGATGGTCGCATAAGAGGAGTAGCCAAATGTTTTGGACTGTGGTGGAATAAAGGGTAGAAATATAAACATTTGATGTAGGTGGAATTTCAGGATATTGAGCATTCTTCCATTCATTCCTATGGAAAAAAAATTGTGTTGGAATGAGCATAAGTTAAAAAAGCATAAGCAACCTAATCGTGTATATACGCTATAATCCTGCAGAGTTTGTGGTTCTAGCTTGAAACCTGCATTGCAAAGTTTTTGACCATTGAAGAAGAAAACAAAGAAGAGTAGGCTTTTTCAAGGCAACATAATTAGATGACTGTAACAAACAAATGATAGAGGTGAACCAAAACCACTTTCAACCACTGCACATAGATTGATTGGGTTTATCTTAGTATAAACCTTTTTTTTTTTTAGATTTTCCTGATCAAAATGAATGTTTTGATTCTTTTCTATTCTTGTATACCAAAAATATGAACCGGGGGCTTCCAGTAGGATGTCGGTTTGGGTCTGAAGCAGCCAACGAATGATCGCATGCTTTATTAATTATGCTACAAAATCAGTGCAGTTGCATCACCACATTCAGGTAGTTGCATTTGAACACCCCTAGTACCCACGCTCCTCACCACACGTCCCTGTGTCACTGTGTCGGCTGGCTGACCGTGAAATATTCCCTCAGCCTTGGGTCTTGATCAAAGATCGCCTCATACGGAAAGCCCAGATTTATAGAGGCCCACCGTTGAGCAAGAGCACTGACAAGGTCGCTGTGTTGATGTTCAGGAGTCATCGGGAGTGCTGTTGTGTAAAAAGCCCAGAACAAGAGCACTCTGTAATTTCCAGAGTTGAAAACTTAATGGTCTTCCTTCTGTCAATAACAACATTGCCTGGAAAGGAAATATTTATCTCCCGAGTCACATTGCTTTTTATTTCCTTTCTTTTTTTGTAACGCTTGGATGCCTAAACCGTCAGTCTCGTCTGCGCCACTCCAGCATGAAATGTGTTTAATTAATTTTGACAAATCGACAGCAAATTTCACAGCATCAACGACGTTCTGAGCGGAACAGCACACAACTCTTAGCCTTTGAATGCAGTTTTGCGGAAATGCAAAACGAGTCTTGGCTTTTCAGCTACAACATTTCGCGCAATCAGAATTACCGTTAGCGCTAGCAATAGCGACTTGTGTTTCGGCTCCTTTTAGGCTGAATTTCGGGGCGCCTGGCACTCGTTGCATCAACCCTCGCAGTCACACGGCTCTTTTTGATCTGCCTGTCTGATTTTCGAGAATCCGCGAGTGGAGCCCGCCGCTCCGTCTTTCGCTCCTTTTCTCCCGCAGTCCTCCATTTGCCTTCCGCCGCTTCTTAACTACCTGTGATAGATCAGTAATCAGCGCAGCCCCCCACCCCAGCCTCGTGCTCTCTCACGGTGACACCGTCGGGCCTTTGATGTCAGAAAACAGCAACAGCTGCTCCCACAAATCCCCTCTTCCCTCTTAGCCTGTCAGCCAGTGCCCCATGGGAAACGTAGTCCTTTCTCCACTGTATATGCTTTTTTTCTTTATCCCCCCCCACCGAAAAAAAAAAAACAATTTCCATCCTTCAAATGACGGATGACAGTCTTTGATTCATTTTGGTGGGGGAGGGAAAAAAAAGTCTATATTTGTCAGGGATGGAGGATGGAAACAGGACACGTGGGATTCAAGGGGGGGGCAGGGGATTGGAGATGGCGGCTGAGGGGGGGCACTAGCAGACGGAGAGATTGAGAGAGGGGGCAAAAGGGAATTGGAGACGGAGATGAAGAGAAATGAAGTGAGACAGAGCGAGCGCAGAGAGAAGGAAGGTAAGCAGCAGGGGAAAAGGGAGAAAGTGAATAAAGTATTTGTCACACTGCAGCGAGGGAGCGGTGGAGAGAGATGCAAAAATGAAGAGAGAGAGAGAGAGAAAGTAAAGGTGTCAGTCTGCGTGAAGGTCTGTCAGTTGAGGAAGGTTGCCCTTTAGTGTTCAGGCTGTGTGCTCTTCTATATTGATCCAGCCTCTCTCTCTCTCTCTCTCTCTCTCTTAGGCACGTCCATTGTCCAGGTGACGGCGACTGACGCGGATGACCCCACCTATGGAAACAGCGCTCGGCTGGTCTACACGCTGGTCCAAGGCCAACCACATTTCTCTGTTGACCCACAAACAGGTCAGCCTCTTTGCTTTTTCCCTAGTGTCTTCAACAACCTCCTTCCATCCACTGACCTCTGGATGGTCTCCCCTGTATAAAGCACCAGAAAACTGGAACTGTGCTTTTTTCAATTGGCCAAGGCTACACTTTCATGTTTTTTCATTACCTGCTCAAGACTGGTACCAACAGGACCCCACCCTCTTTGCTAACGTAGCTAAAGCCAACAACAGTTTAGCAAATTCTTTACCATTCCAGGTGAAGATAAGGTCACTAAGCACTATTATATAACCAAAAAGTGCACCAAACTGTGTCGAGTGCTCAGAAATATCACTTCATAGTCACTTAGCTAAGATCACTTAAGCTAGTTAGCAAGCTAATGCCTCTGTTATTAGCATTTATGCTAGCCCCCACAAAGCAAGTGTTTTGTTTGATTAGACATGTGAATCTGTGTAATTGTAGACATTTGTGTAGAAAACCTATTGCGTAATAAAGCAAACTGAACAAAACTTCCCTACTGAGCATAAATTTCTTGCTGATCTAAGCTAGTTTATGCTTGTTTCCCTGATAGCGAGAGGCTAGCGGACCACCGCTGGCCCATTCACTGACGTTTTTGCTCAGCATTTTCCTGGTGGCCCACCGGTGCTTAAGCAGACTATTAGACAAAATGCCACTTTTCATCACTTGTTTTCCACTCACAGTCCAATTTACTGATTTTTCCCTCATTTATTTCTTTAGTTTTCCTTTGTAAATTAGTTTAGTAAATGATTTTAATCTAGCACAATGTCAGAAATAACATTCTCAGCTAAATCATTTTATATTAGGCCTAGTCATTATTTTTTTCTTTCAGTTGTTTGTAATATTTGTCTTAGTTTATTTTTCAAAATAAAAGGCTGAGAGCAATGAAGATCTCTTTGAGGAAACCAAAAACTAGTTAGACCTTATATGCAAGGCGCTAAACTGGGTGGTCCGAGGGTGGCCAAGCAGTGGCCAACAGTCAGCGGACCGATATATGCTTGCTGTCTGGGAAACTGTGTTGAGCTGTTTTAGAAATATCCCTTCATAGTTACTTGGCTAGAGTGACTTAAGCTAGTTAGCAAGCTAATGCCTCTGTTTTTAGCATTTATGCTAGCCCCCACAGAGCATTTGCTCACATTTTTACATTTGTCAGAGAGAAAATATGAGCGTGGCTTGATTCTACACATGAGTCTGCGTGATTGTAGACATTTGTGTAAAAAGCATATTGTATAATAAAGCAAATTTGGCGAAACTTTCCTACTGAACAAGCTAAGCTAGTTTATGCTAGTTAATTCTGGTTGACCAGCATTCCAGCCTCCTAAACATAACAAATCACTGTTGTCGGAACAAAACCTCGTATCTCCAAAATTATAACTTTACAGGAGAAGGAAAAAACCTACTTTACTTTTAACGTAAGTCAATGCACAGACTTTTTTCCAGGTCATTTTGGGCCATTTCTTTCGGCGCATTCTTCATGAAATTTACACAGAATGTAAAGAAGTTTTATGTCAAAAACTAAAAAATGAGAAAAATGGAGATACAAGGTTTTGTTCCGACAGCAGCGGTATGCTGTTTTTTCTAGTAGGGTTATACACATAAACTGGTCAGAAAGACCAAAAGTTGTTACCCTTGTTTTTATAATAGATTGATCTATCTCTGGAGCAGGAAGCAAATGAACTAGAACTAGATCTGGAAGTTCTTGATTAAGTCAGTTTTTTAAAAGTGCAGGGGGAAAACACCCAGCGACAACCAGTTAGCACTGCATTTATCAGTAACAACAATAATCGTCTAATAGTCTATTTAGAAGCAAGAGTGTCTAAACTGATAGTCTGGCCAAAAAAATAAAAATAAAATCAATTATTTATAATTTTCCTCATACCACAAATGTAGTTCACTGGAGCTACAAGCCTAATGTAGCTAACAGGTGATAGAAGTTGCCCTCACCATTCCCCATTATAGCATCTCAAGTTTGACTTTGTTCTGCTAACTTGCTAGTAACCCAGTTAGCAATAGCAAGTAAAGAAGGGTAGTCAACCACACTTAAACCAGACAAAGCAATGCGTCAAAATAGTTTATGTATTCTGCAGTCTGACTTCTTAAAAAATGGTTTGAATTACAAAGTTTGCTCAATTGAATTACAAGTTAATTAGCTCATAGAGGCTAGCCTAGCTAAGGAGGTGAGGACAAGTGTTTCTATTGACAAAAACAGCTCCTTGTTGTTCCTTGTATGACTGTGAATGACCCCATGTTGCTAACCATGAACTTGGGAACATAGAGCCCTGGGAACCTGAAACCTCGGGAATACAGAGCCCTGGGAACATAAATATGTCACTTGCTAACTGTATTAGCCTCACAGCTCCAGTGCAAAACTAAAGAAGTAAACCTGGGACACAGTGGACGTTTTGGGATGAAGAGAAATTTGTGCAAATTAGATTTTTCACCCAGCCATCTGTTAAAAGTAATCCGACCTCTAGCATGTAGCGGTGATTGGCATTTTACAAAGACGAGGCTTTTAAGCAGACTGGGGGGGGGGAGTTTCTATCGGAGGGGGGGACAGGCCATTTTTGAAAAAATCACTTCTGTTCCTCTGTGCTTTGCCGGGTGATTGGCTGGCAGCCGTGTGAGCAGGAGTGATTTTACACACCCGTGCGTGCAGGGGCTAGCGCTAGCTGTGTTTATGTTCGTGTGGGTGTGTGTGTAGGCGAGTGCATGTGTGTACGTGTGTGTTTTTTTGTATGAGAGTGCTCGGGGAGTGGGGGGGTGCTTAAGAAGATAGAGAATGAGAGGGAGTAGAGAGATAGAGAGAGAATGAAAGAGCGAGGCAGAGGGGTGGCGTGTTTTATGAGAGCGCGTATTAGCATGGCTCCGTGCGCCATTGTGCGCGCGGCATGTTTGTGTAACAGTTGGCGCATTGTGCTTCTGTCTACGTGGATAATGGACTTCCTTTTGTGTTTTGATTCCATTTGGCCGCCTAATGAAACCTAATTAATTTTGTTGACATTTGTGAACCCCATGCTGATATGAACGAGAGGGCTTTTTTTTCTTGAAGGGGTTTGAATGCTAATCAAGCATATTAACCTAATTCTGTCCTGCATGCATAGCGTGGTATTCTCTTTCACTCATTAGCGCAAATTAGCATTCTGAGCCGTGGTGTTCAGAAAGGTCCTCCTCCATATACTCATTATTATTAAACCTGCCTAAAGATAATTTATGGATATTTTGTACACTTGCCAGCCACATCATTGTAGCTCCATCTTGCTGGTGTACAGTAGACCGTAGCCCATCTGTTGATAGATGATTTGTGTCAGCCATCCTCAGGTTTTGACCACAGAGCCTCTTTTGGGTGGAAATTTTTGGCCAGTGGTATCAGTAGCTAGGTTTTTGTCCACATATTTTAATGAGTATTTTGGAATATTGAATAAAAAGGCTCAGACATTGAATAAAATCACCAAAATTTGCATAGAAACTGTTTTGCAGCTCAAAAGAAAATGGATAAATTGTGATGTTAATGAGCTTTCCTAACAAATATAGATAGAGTAGTCATATGATGGCTCACATTACCATCTTTACACCCTTAAAATAATGGTAAAAATCCCTTTTCCACTTACAACCGATATAGTCAAGATGCCAAGACAAGGAGCTTTGAGGCTAACATTGCTAACAAATAAGTCAATAGTCACCCAAATCTTTTCCATGAATATATCCCCAAAATTTCTCACAACCCCCTCAAACCACATCTAGGCCTTCATTAACTTCACACAGACTTATGAATGTGGTGTAGGACACAATATGACTTACAATGAGCTATAAAAATTAACAACACATCACTATGTAGAGTAGTGGTCACCAACCCTGGTCAACCACAGTGAGCCACACCAGCTTTAGCTAATTGACGTCTTCACAAGTCACTGATTGGCTGGATCAGATGCAATACTGTTAACTAAGTGTGTGTGGTAGGGAGGCAGCATATTAGATGCAGCTTAGAACTAAGCTCTACAGGAAAGTAAATCTCCAGGAGGAGGATTGGTGACCACTGCTGTAGCTAAATGCAGTTGACAGTAGGTCTGGGCGATAGAGTGATGTCATCAGATATTTGTCAGCGATGGACAAGTAACCTGATGACTGGAGAAAAATTTTCTCTGAGCCCCGTCTACGAAAACAGGGCTTTAATAATGGGGCTTTAAGGCTACGGTGTTTATTCCCCTCTGTCTCTGCTGTCTGTGATTTACTGAGTAAAATTTGCAGTATTTTCTGTACAGTTTAAGTGTCCCGATGGTTAATCGAATTATGAAAACCCTTCTGTAATAATGGAAAATGTCCATAAATTTTACAAGAAACTTTGTAAAGCACGTGGACGTGGCTTTGCAGTCTGAAGTTCATCTGAAGTAGGGGTGAGGGGTCGGAAGTTCATCTCAAGTAGGGGCGAGGGGTCGGAATTTGGCACAACTTCTGTCGTCTAAAATGGCTGCCCACAGCGTTCAGCTACATGGTAAAGTTTTGTTCATTCTTTATGAAAGCTGATGGCAATATATAGAACTGTGAACACTTAAAGAGTCATTTGAGTGCTTAAAAAGGTCCTGGTCTGGTTAAACGGTTCTTCAATCCGATGGTAATCGGATTTCTGCAGTTATCCGGTTATTCAGATGGTCATGTGATCAAATGATCTAAAAATCTGTTTAAGAAATCCGATAAAGAGAGCTGGATTTTAGCTCAGTAATCAGATTTCTCAGTGCATGTAAACTCTTACTCTGATTTCTTTCGGATTTCTCAGTTTGCACTTGTGCAAAAACAGACTGCTGTACCAGAAATAAGCAAGCGGCATCACCACGAGACGCAGCAAAAGACTTTTGGAGCGGCACTGAAACCAACTACATTCTTGATGAAATAAGGATTTAAATATTTTTCATGTATGTTCATATTTTCAGGTAAAGTGGCGCGATGTTTTTTAAAAAAAGCCACAGCGTGAAGATTGACTTTTACATTACGTTTACATCATGTTTTCTTCTTTAAGTTTATTGGCTGGTTGCGAAGCAGAACTCTGATTACTGCCTGACTCTCCAGAGTTTTCCCATTATCTCTTTACTCAAGTGCATATAAACGTGTTGATTGGACTGCTGACAAAATCTGATTTTCTGCAGTTATCAGATTATTAAGTGCATGTAAACAGACTCAATGATGAAAACCCTTTTGTGGAACTGGCTATATTTGGCACCAAAACGGATTTCAGTATTTTTACCTGTCGTAGAACCTTGCTAATGTACCAGTTTAATAATTTAAATTTTTAAAGTACTTTTATCAAAGACAAAACATAACACTCATCCTGATTGATGGACGTTTCTCAGAAGTGTTTTTAGAACCTATTGTCTTGCACAGAAAGGTGATGGAAACAGCCTTTTAGCATGAATGTTTAAAACACCTCAGTTATTGGCTTGAACTTAGCCAGCTGAATGGAAATGTGACTCTAACTTGTCTCAAAACACTGAAAACCAGTGTTTGATAGAGTCATACCAACACCACATATACTACCAAGTTACTGTCATTACTGTGTTGAGAATGACCCCCTCCACCCAAATAAAATCTCCTGTGGTCAGAAAGCGAGCAGTGATGAATGGGGTAGGGAGTGGATGACAACAGATGGGCTACAGACTGTAATTGTTCATCTATATAGTGGGCCTATAAGGTAAGTGGAGCTCATAAAGTGGTCAGTGAGTGGAGGTACAAGGTTGATGTTTTGTAATATAGTGGACGATGAGTGTACACAGCAAAATGTAAGTTGTGATGAGGTTACTTTGAGCCAGTGGTCAAAAAAAAAAACGGAATTTTCTGACAATATGAAGAAGATTTGATATTGAGAAGCAGCTGGTGGCCATGAGGAGATTATCTAGTGAATCATCTCTCTCTCTCTCTCTCTCTCTCTCTATCTCTCTCAGGAATTTTGCGCACAGCTGTGCCTGACCTGGACAGAGAAACTCAGGATCAGTACCTCGTGGTGCTCCAGGCTAAAGACATGGGTGGCCATCTTGGAGGACTTTCGGGAACCACCACAGTTACTGTGAAACTGACAGACGTCAATGACAACCCACCACACTTCACACAGAGTGAGTTCACATTAGAGATATTCAAGTATCTATAAGAGTTTATGAATAGTTAGCCGGTTAACCATGAAGAAAAGGAAAAAAAAACTGACTTTACAGACAAAAATAACAGAACTGTAGGCTTACAGTAAAGGCAACAGCACTAGTGGTGCACAAAATATAGCAGCTTGCAGGAAAACACCTGGTTTTCGTGCTGGTTGAGTAATGGAGGCTGCCTCTTCAGATGAGCTAATGCGCTAACAGAGCTAACAAGTGTTATGTTGGATGCTGCTGAGGACTTCTTGTCTTCTACATGAGGTATTTTCTCCTCAGTGGACGATGTGTCAGCATATTTGTCAGATAAATTTGTTGTTGTTGTTTCTGGACCTAGCTAAAATCAGCTAGAGTAGATAGCCTAGTTAGCTCTGCCTTTGTTAGCCATGTTCTTACCTCCTAACAGCACGTCCTTAACCATGCATTCACATTCAGGCACTCGTGAGTAGCAAACAACATACTCAATCACAAATACAAGCAAAACTTTCTCATTTTATTGTTCTGTTACAACATACAATTGGCATTTCACTCAATTGTTGGTCTGATTTTAGTTAGTAGCGTGTGATATACTGGTTCATCCGGTATACTAGTTGAAATTCTTCTTAAGGTATTAGTTTTATTATTAATGTTATAACGGAATACCACAAATAAATGTAAATACATACAGTGCAAAACACACAAATTTCCCAAAAACTCCAATGTAATGAGCTGCAGTAATCAGATTGTAATGAGTTAACAAGTTAACCCCTTCAAATTCCAGGCTTATTACATACTAAAGCTTATTATTCAGTGACTACAGGGACTTCAGTGCAAACTGGTTGAGCTATTCTTAGGTTATAGAAGTGTGTAATAAAACATGTAAGGGGTTAACAGGGGGAAAAGAGAGTTGATGGCAAAGCAAGTCTCTTGGGGTTAGCTGTTAGCCATCAGCTTTGCATGGACACGTTATAAAACGTGAAGGGACATCCCAGAATAATATGCCATTGTTAATCTGCAAAGAAGGTTTACTTAAGCATCCAAAATGAATTTTATTTTAGAAGGAACCTAAATACACTATACCATTATATAGAGCGAAACCATCACCGTATCACATGTTCCAGATTTAATATCTGAATACTGGCACCTTGAACAGTTAACTGAAACTTAAATAGGCTACCCGTACACATATGTAGTTCACATACACTCACATACACACCTACCCATCAAAAAATTAGGGACACCCGGCTTGTAAGAAAAACGTTTTATATTAACTAGAAAGCTGTTCAGATCTTGCCATTTTTCTGTGCAAAAACTGTTAGCTTGGGAACATTGCCAAAGCCCACACATCTTATCCCCTTGTTGTGATGTCACTCATCGACACTCAAACCTTTCAAGTGTTTACACTACCTTTTGAGTTTCAATATGTACTTTTAAAGAGGAGTTCTGGTGATTTTTCTACATATCTGCATAATTAGAGCATTAAAATGTAAATAGGAACCAGGCATCCAAAGCGTTTAATGCCTCTAGAAGCTCCTTCACGGAAAGGTATTGCATGAAATAGTTATGAATACGCTGCCTGTTACCTGAGACAGTGTTTACAATGGTATGCCAAAGAAGACACATTGATTAATGTGAAGTTGAATGCATCAAAATTCATGCAGTGTATTAGCAAACAGCTGTTTTATGGTAACCACTTCTTTGCAGGTATTTTTCTTACTTAATTGCAAAAGACCACCATTCAGGCTACGTTCACATTACCAGGCTGAAGTGGCAGTGAAGTTTTTGTCCAAATGTGACACAGATCTCATGGTTTTAGAGCCATGTGGACACACAAATCTGACCTAAGCCACTGTCATTTGTGGTCCTAGATCGGATATGTATTAAATTTGTGGCCTTGCGATGTTAACAAGAATGCTCAGACCTCAATTCATGGGTTTTTATTTTGTTCTTTTTTCACATGCACCATCATTCAGCCTTGCTGTGGCAGCAGCGCCCGAACCTGAAGTGCCAGTAAACGGTGGAAAAGAAACACATCTCACCTTTTTTACCTTCATCTCCCTTTAATAATGAACTGCTGAGAGCTGTTCAGAGCTAATTATATTCCCAGCGAAAGCTCGCACTTCTAGTTTGTTTGCTGTTCATGACACATTCACTCATGTGACGTTATTAATTCTGATGTGGGCATAGGGGTCATTTCAGGATGCAGGTTTGTTCACATTAAAGGTTCTATATACACTATGTGGATAAAAGTATTGAGACACCTACACATTACACCTACAGGAGCTTTTATGACATCCCATTCTAAATCCATAGGCATTATTATGGAGTTGGTCCCCCCTTTGCAGCTGTAACAGCTTCCACTCTTCTGGGAAGCTTTCTAGAAGATTTCGGAGAGTGTCTTTGGGAAGTTTTGCCCATTCATCCAGAAAAGCATTTGTGAGGTCAGACACTGATGTTGGACGACAGGGCCTGGATTGCATTCTCCATTCTAGTTCATCCCAAAGGTGTTTGATGGGGTTGAGGTCAGGGCTCTGTGAGAGTCAGTCAGGTCTTCTTCCACAGCAAACTCACCAAGCCATGCCTTTATGGACCTTGCTTTGTGCTCTGGGGCTCAGTCATGCTGGAACAGGAAAGGGTCTTCCTCAAACTGTTCCCAAAACCTTAACCTTAAAGTGAATTATCTTGTAATCTCCACCAAAACATCTCCTGACAGATGAATAACTTCTACCTAATAGCCGTTTTGACTCAATAATTGGTCTCTGACTTTTGCACTCCACTGTACACAAACCTTTGCATTTTCCATGCTCACAGCATGCACACAACCACACCACACACACAGAGACGAGTGTAAACAGCACGCCGTCTCACATCTTCTACGTCTGCCGCTCAGTCACACATAGCACTTCTGAACGAGCGCGCGGTCATGTAGGCCTGCTCTGACAAACAGGCATGTCTAAGAGGCTTTGCTCTCTTTGAGAGCCTAACAATGTCTGCCTCTGTGTGTGCATGCTTCCCTGAGGGGCTGCTGGACTGAGCCATGGGGGCTCATGCGCATGCTCTCTATAAGCTCTATAGGACAAGTTCATCATCATGCGCTTCATTCTATTCTCTTCTTAGCCTCAGTCTCCCACTCTTTATATTAAGAACAAAGAGCGTATGGATCATGAAAAATTCATCACATGAAATACAATGAAGAGCGAAGAGAAAAAAAAAAAGTAGTGATTAATAACTCAGAAATGTTTACTTTGCATCGTTTCTCAAAACTGTGCAAAGAAGTGGCATAATTTGCCACCAGAAAAGCCGTATTTTCACCCTTTGATGAGCGTAACAGGGAGTGTTTGAATATTTGAGAGCATTCAGGGAATTCACACACTTTTTTCTGTCAGTTTTCGCGAAAACACCACTCTCGCACTTTCCTGTTAATAAAGGAAGAAGATGGAAATTTCTTTCAGCGAAAGGAAACAGAGCTCCCTTAAACAGATATGTTCCTTTCTCTCTCTTGCGTATCCATCTTACATTTTTCAGAATTTCTGTATAATTTAATGGTTAAGATGTAAACAAAGTCATTCAGAGTGGACTGATGTGAAACGCACTGCTCTAGAGAAACGTACAGAGTCTGATGTTTTCACAGTGGTGGTGATTGGAACCAAAGCGTTTAATGTTTCTTAAAACAATGATGCAATTCACGCATCACGTTGACCATAAGGACTTAGCCTGTGAGTCCAGAGTGAGTTCGTGGAAATTTCAGCGATGATTCTGTCAGTTATCCAGTTCAGAAAACCACCGTTCAGATCCCTCACAGCAACATAAGTTTTTCCGATTTTTCTCCGTTCAACGAATCACAAAAGTGTTAATACCTTCGTACCTGCTTTGAGAGTCGCTCCTCCAAGTCATCCATATTTATTTCATGGCATGCCTCTTTTTTACCGACCAATCACAGGCTTTGTCGTGTAGTGTTTTTGTTCGTGGAGTCCAAGACACGGTGAGCGAAGTTGTTTGATTGTTCGTTTTCTCCGCAATTATGTCATATTGTTCACCTATGCCAGGCAAACGTTGCCTCGACAAAAAGTAAGCTGAGGCCTTTAAAGCTCCCTCACAGAAAGCTGTTGTAAGCGTGCTGCCTGATGCCTGAGAATGAACGTACAAATACCTTTCACTAAAGAATTGTTGGTATAATTCAAAATCATGTTTCAGTTACAACTAAGCATTTCAGATTCTTCTTTTTGGAAAGCCAGTACCTCCTTTAATTATACACCGATCAGGCATATCAGTTTCTACACTCATTGTCCATTTTATCAGCTCCACTTACTATATAGGTGCACTTTGTAGTTCTACAATTACAGACTGTAGTTCATCTGTTTCTCTGCATACTTTGTTAGCCCCCTTTTACCCTGTTCTTCAGTGGTCAGGACCCCCATGGACCCTCAGAGAGCAGGTACTATTTGGGTGCTGGATCATTCTCAGCACTGTAATAACACTGACGTGAAGGTGGTGTGTTAGTGTGTGTTGTGCTGGTCTGAGTGGATCAGACACAGCAGTGCTGGAATTTTTAAACACTGTGTCCACTCACTGTCCACTCTATTAGACACTCCTACCTTGTTGGTCCACCTTGTAGATGTAAAGTCAGAGGCGATAGCTCATCTGCTGCTGCACAGTTTGTGTTGGTCATCCTCTTGTCCTTCATCAGTGGTCACAGGACGCTGCCCACAGGACGCTATTGGCTGGCTATTTTTGGTTGGTGGCCTATTCTCAGTCCAGCAGTGACACTGAGGTGTTTAAAAACTCCAGCAGCACTGCTGTGTCTGATCCACTCGTACCAGCACAACACACTAAACACAACACAATACAATTACAATACTTTTATAATACGATTTTAAAAGTACGTTCACATGTAGTTACATGCAGGTCACTGTTAGGCAAAATAGTCCCAAAAATACACCTGAAAATTAGATGTTTTTTTCCTGCTTTTCCACTATTTTACCATTATCAAC